TGCTGTGAAATTACAGAAGAGTGAAAAGATATTCCTACTTCATATCAACACAAACATGAAGTTAGGATTGTTTCTTCTTTCAGGGAATACTGCTTTGATTATAGTAGCTTTATGGTGAGTTCTAGTCTGGTAGTGTAAGTCTTAGAACTTTGATATTTTTTAAAGTTGATTTTGTGATTCCAGGTTCTTTTAATGTCCATATAAAATTTCACCTCCATTAGTAATTTTCTTACTTGAAAATATCTGCTAGAATTTTGATAAGGATTGATTTGAATCAATTGATGAATTTAGGAAAAAAAAATTACTACTTTAACATCATTGAGATTTCCAATCCATGAACATGGTATATTTCTCCATTTACTTAAGTTTTCTTTTATTTCTCTCAGTAAGGTTTATGCAATTTCAGGAGAAAGGTCTTGCACATTTTTTGTTAGATACAGCCCATGTCATTTAAAAATAATTACAGTTGTTGCTACTTCCTTTCCAACTTTTGTTTTAATTTCTTTACTTGCTTTACTGAACCGGTTACAAATTCCAGTAAAATACTGAATTATAAGAATTGAGTTACAAGAATTCTCTATACATTCTGTATGCAGGTCCCTTACCAATTACATGATTTGCAAATTTTTTTTTTCTTATTCAGTTTTTCTGTTTTGTGTTTAATTCGTTAATTTTTTTTCAATGCAGTTATAAATTTCACCAAGTTGCTGAATCTATCAGTAAAATTATCCGTTTAATGTCTGTAGAGTCTGTGATCCTACATTGATATTTTCTTTCTTTCTTCCTCGCTCTCTTCCCACTACCAGAGGACACAAATACTCATCAGAGAGAATGAGAGAGGAAGTATCCCCACATGGGGTATGGTCATCATGTAATACATTTTCCTCAAGTTCTCCATCCCATCAGGACATAAGGTACACACACACAGACCACACACCAGCATGTTTTTCCAAGTTCCAGGGTTGGGATTTAAACCACAGTCAGCCATGTGGAATCCGGCTCCCTATGCACAGGGCCCAACTGCTGGAGCCACAAGGCTGACCCATGTTGAGACTGGTAATTTGTGTCTTTGCTCATTCTTTCCTGATCATTCTTTCTAGAGTTTTACCAGTTTTACTAATGTTTTTCAAAGAATCAATTTCTGACTTTGTTGGTTTTCTCTTTTTATTTGCTTTCTACAGTAATTTTTTCTTTTGTTTCTCTGAAATATATTGTATTGATTTTCCTTAAATCTTCTTAAGATGGAAACTTACCTCATTTATTGGGTTGTTGGAAAAGTCATGGAGTATTTTTCTGTTTTTCCATCAGAAAATGACTCATCACTTTTCCAATGACCCAATATTTCAAACTTTCTTTTCTATCATAAAACATTGACAGATATACTTTCTCTTTAATCTTTTAATTTCATCCTATGATTCAGATATATTTTCATTATATTAAAAGGTACACAAAAGGGAGTTATCAAAAGAAGAGAAAACAATGAAGGCTGTCACAGAATACTATACATTTAGAATGTTTATGTCTTTTTTTATCAATTGACTATATTATGATCATGACTATATTATGATCATACAATGTCCTACTTTATATCATAATATCTTCTAAATCTGATGTTAACATAATCACACTAGCTTTCTGATGCTCAATGCTTGCAAGGTGCACATTTACTATTAATTTTGTCCAAGTCTCTCTATATAATGTTCATTTCTTATAAGTAGCATATATTAGGTGGTGTGTTCTTTATTCATTCTGGAAATCTCTTCCTTTTAAATGGAGTGTTTGGTAAACTTACATTTAGTGTAATTACTGATATGGTTAAAATTAAGTGTTTTTCCATCTTTCTTTCTATTTGACTCATGTTCTTTGCTTTTCCATTCCTCCATTGCTTCCTATATTTGGGCCACGTATTTTTTTTTTAATATCTTGTATCAGCTATAACTTTCAGCTATAGCTATAACTTTATTATTATATAAATATGTCACTCTAGAGATTAAATAAGAATCCTTAACTTACCACAATCTACCTTCAAACACTATTATACTATTCACAAACAATATAAAATCTTACCACTGTATAATTTCAGTTGCACATATTTTAAACTATTTGTCAGAATCCAACAGTTTTTCAACATTATCTTTAGTGGCTTAAGTTCATTTTCCTTTTTGTGCTTAAGTTTGAGCAAATTTTTAGTGGTTCTCACTTCACTAATCATATTTTTCATCACAGTCCCCTGTTAAACTCATCAAATAAATTCTTTCTTTCTAATTCTTTTCTAATTTTTCAGTTATGCCAATTCCACTTTTTTTGTTTTATAGTTATAATTATTTTACTGTCTTCTGCTAATTATAACATCTGAATCATGTGTGAGTAAACTATTCACTAGGTTTTTTTCATTAGATTTTTTTTTTAGAGGTTTTTGCTATAGGGCGCGTGCGCTCGCCAGACAGACAGAGACAGAGAGACAGAAAGTGAGAAATCACCCCCCAGGTGGGATGGTCACGCCACAATCCCTTCTCCTCCATTACTCCTCTCAGGATCTGGGGCACGTACACACACGTGCCCGGCGTGAGTTTTAAGCCACCGGGTCTGGGACGCGAACCGCGGTCGACTACGTGGGAGTCCAGCAACATAGCCATTATGCTAACTGCTGGTTCCCACTATTCACTAGTTTGCAGTGCAAATCATAGTTTCCTACTTTTTCAGTGAATTCATAATTTTCATTATATGACAGACATTGCATGTAAAAGGGGAGCAAATAATATTTTTAATTAATAATAGCTATCCTAAGAAAATGGCACACCTGCTAGTGTCTGAATCAGAAATTTCCCTATGTAAGATTTGGGATCTGAATCCTATTGAGACTCCAGAGACTTCTCTGTTCATATAGCCCAGCTATCATCATTCTAACCATGGCAGATTTCTTCTGTTTAAAGCCCAGCCATTGGCTTCCTACATTGCTAAGGAATTCTTTATGCTATTCATAACCTCCCTGAGATTTTTGTGTCATGGAATATTTCTTTACCTTGCCACCCGGGTACCAGCATTCAGCAACTGCTTTGCTGCTTCTGAAGGCCCTGTACATCTTGAAGGGTGAGAGAGGTTTCTTTTTAATCTTTCACTTTTTCCCAGCTTTCTGCTGCAACTGCCTTGCATTTGATAAAAGGCCACCATGCCTCAGAGAGGTGTCTTTCAACTCTCTAGTTCTGCCTCCAGATGAGGCAGAACTAAATAAGAAAAACACATCTAACAGTTGTCAAATAATACAACTGGAGACCACGTATCTTTGAGCTCAATGCAGGACTCTTTACTCTCTTCACTATCCATATTTCATTTTAAATTGCAAGTTGTATTCCACAGACCATCAGCAATGATAACATTTCCACACTAAGGACTTAGTAACATGATCATACTCCACCAGACTGGCTTTGGTGCTAAAGTATACCTCATACATGATCTTTTATTAAAAAGCAATCTTAGTTTAGAAACATGTAAGGAGAGGAAAACTTAAATGGCTGCAAGCCATTCTTGTGCAAAGAGTCCTGGAGCTTAGCAGGCTTGTTTTACATTAGGGAACTATTCTGACATTGAGTAGGAAAGAATATTTTCGAAATATTTTTCGAATAACTATTTTTCCATTCATTCGTTACATCTGTGTTGTTCAATATGGTAGCCACTAACCACATACATGGCCACAAATATTTAAATTATGTAAAATTTAAACTTCATTCCTCCACCACAGTAGTCACATTTCAGGTGTTCAAAAGTCACATAGGGCTAGTGGTCATTCTGTTGGACAACAAAGATGGACCATTTCAGTCACAGAAAATTCTATTAGACAGTACTGCTCTAAACACTTAGATCATCTTTTAAGATAGGCAATTAAAATTTGCTTTTCTATAAATTATTAAACAAAGTGATCTTTATTTAGTCTCTGATAAAATAGGTATACTCAGACAATATGAATATTGTACCACGTGAGAATGAAACGAAGAAGGTGGTAGGGATCTCTGTGATAGTTTCATGAATATGAGCCAATCCTTGTCCAAAACAATACTCTTAACACTGACACACAGAGGTTAATTTAGATGGGTATTTTATGAAAAATAAGCAATAAACTATTCCTTATTACATTTACTCTTTAATGACTCCATCCATATCAGATGGTTTATGTCAGAAGCTTCCTTCTTTCATAATTCCCGATGCACAAAATAAATCACTTCCTTTTAAAAAGAGGTTGCCCAACTTCACAGCTTTGCAATTGAAGTACTTTAATGCCAAGTAAACATCATATGCCACAGCTGTTTCCAAAGTTTTATGAACAAGAACATGAGACCAATATAAAATAAAATCCACAAATTACATTTCTTACTCCCCAGCTCAATCATCATGAGTCCAGAAGTCAAGTCACTCAAGAAGTGATGTGTAGATGCCTATGCGATTGTTGTGACCCTAAGGGACATGTGCCGCAAGTGGCACATAGGGTAACTTCGACTCTGCCCATAAAAACACCATGCCAGGGCACACCAGAACACACCAGGGATGAGCTGGCTCACACTTGCATCATATTGGCCACTTATGCCAACCAAAATGGAGGAACGCTTTCCAGGGGTTAACCTTACTTTGTCCCAGTTTCCTTTATCTACTCCCATATTTTTTACAGAATCACTCATCATGTCAGCTCATCAGGTTTATCCCCACTTTCTCTTCTCACTTTGCAATTTCCATTCTTCCAATTTTTTATACTGGCAGAAGAGGAGCAAAATGTGGGTAGGGAGGAGATTTTTTTCCTCATTCCTCCTTGTTTCATGACCAAGAACAAAAACAGGAGCTGCTGTTTTTCTTTGAGATCATGAACTGTTCATAATCAGATTCTTATAAAGATCACAGAGCTATTGCCCAAGAGATGCAGAAAAAATAATCATCCATATCCATTTAGCTGGGTGAAGGTTTATGCAATGGCTATAAGGTTTTCAGGTTATGACCCAGTTTTTCCCACTTACCTTGGCTTTCCCATCCTGGGCTGACATATATCCAACACACATGCTCTCTGTGGTGTGGCTCCACAGAAATTCCACTACCATAAAAGAGAACACAAATAGGCACATTCAGATCATGGATGGAAAATAAATCTTTGTTTTTTAATAGAACAGTTAAAGATAGCTTTATATTTAACACACTCAGTTCCCTACTTTCCATTTGCTCCTTCATAAATGTCAAGATGATTTAGTACTCAAAACTGTGTAATGCCACTTACTGTGAAATGAAAAATGTATTTCTTTCTTGTCAAAACTTATAATTATTACATGTGAAATAAATGCTCTACTGTTTGAAACTTGTAACATTAAACACATACATACATACACTCATACGTACTGTATACAATTATTAGTAAATGTAATACTCCATTGCCTAGTTTCTTTTATAAACGTGCACACGCGTGCACACACACACACACACACACACACACACACACACACCAGGTCTTGGTTTCTAAACATCATTCTCCATAACAAGGAACTAAGATTCTTGTCTACTCCAGAGCTGGGACAGAGAAATTAAAGAATAAATCTAGAATATCATGTTACATCAGACAGTAAGGAACTGCTCAAAGAATGAAGATTTATTAAAATGACCTAGGAGTAGGGCTAAAGAGTTCCTACTAGCCAAATCTGTGTTTATCAAAAGAAATAGGAAATAATGAACTATAACCATGAAATAAAGTAAGAACCAATGAGCCCATACTAATCCAAAAAATTAAACGAATAAGTGGGGAAAAAGATAAAACTCTTCTTTGCAATGGAATGCTAACTAATAAATACAGAGAAATAATAGAGTTAGAAAAATCACTGTGGTTGCTAAAACTTACGGGCATAAATTTGAAGAGGGACAGGCTATTTATAAAATCTCAAACTATCTCTCCACCAAGTTGTTATTAAGTAAAAGGGAAAGTGACAGTTCATTGAAAAAATGTGAGGAACTCCAACTTAACGAAATGATGGAAGCTAATGTATTTTTTAACAAGACAGTGTAAGGTACAAAACCACTTCTGTACTGTTCCTGCCAAACACACATAAACAAAATTGAATGACAAAACACCAAATAAATCTGAAATAGCAACACTCTACTAAATTTTGAAATCTTCAAAAATGTCATAAAAAAAAAACCCACAAAACTGAAAAACTATTCCTGTTCAAAGGAGACATGGCAACCAAGTAAGTGTTGTCCTAAATTGTATTCTGTCCTGGGGTTGAGAGGACAAGTTGCAAGGAGCAATATTGAGACAATTGATGAACTGTGACAAAGGACTATGCATCAGAGAGTAATGTTGCAGCGATATTAACATTATGAATTTGAAAAGTACACTGTGATTACTCAGAACAATGACTTGTTCTTAGGAAATGCACTAGGAGTAGAGCTGCTCCCACAGAATCCAGGAAAAATTAAATTCACATTTAAATGTGTGTTGAGGGGTGAGGGGGAGGGCAGAGAGGAAAGGAAGAAATGAGGATGAGAAGATAAACGGGTGGCCAAGTCGCAGCCCAGTGGTGGTGCAATTGGACCCGCATGGAAAGGTCCTGGGATCATGTTCTGATACCTCCTTGAACACACTGGGAAGGCACACACACATGCCTGTGATCCAGAACAGCTGGGGATGAATGGTGTTGTGAAGACCCTCCTGGGAGTGTCTGTCTATTTGTCTGTCACTCTCGGAAGAAATAAAAAATGAACATTTTTTGAAAAGCATTTTAATATCAAAAGCATGAATTGATAACTAAAACATCCCAAAAAGAAGTAAAGAGAAAAGAAAAGAAAGAGAGGAAAGGAACGGAAAGGAACAGAAAGGAAAGCAAAGCAAAGCAAATACAAACACAAACAGGAGAAAATGAAAACAATGGATGAATCTAAGAAAAGTACTCATGAGTGTCTTACTATTCTTGCTAAATCAGCCTTTAGTACTATATAATGTCCTTCTTGCAACATACAAGGATACACACAAAACTCCGTCACCTTCAAGTACATACTTTGAAAATTCTGAGTTTTTAAAGGCATTTTTAAAGTTTTGATATGCTTTTCCAATAGAAATTTCAAAAGTTCCTAATGATAAAATTACACTGCTCAACACTAAATCTTCTCTTTCCCAAGCCATCCATCTGTTTACATCCCTGAGCTAATTAAATCTGAAAACAAGTGCTTGTATTGAGACACAACTGTGTGATCAGTGATCCTAGACTCTAATGGCTTTGCCAGAAATGGGAGGGAAGAAGAAAGCAGTAAGAGGCAAAACTGAGTTCCTTAGCAACATGGCTCAGTTCCTCATCATTAATTATCAAACCTGCCAACCTGCTCAACAGACGCTTTGCTGAAGAGTGCAGGAAAGCAGTGTCACGCAATGAAGCAAGTTCTCTTCACCAGATGTTTTTTCTTCCACACACATCTGCTTTGAACTTCAAGAATCTTGAAATCTAGAGGAAGGTCTGGGATATTCTAAATTGCCTAATAGACCAAAGGCGCTCAAGTCTTATTGAAGTTCCCGGGAGCTGGAACAACGAGTTGTACTGAAATACAAAGTTAAGGCATTTCTAACATTGTAACTTCCCCCTTATGTCCCAAATACTAAGCTGGCAACTGCTCAGAACTTAGCCAAGAAAAATACATGAAAATAAAGTCATCTTGTAATAAAATGAAAGATAAAAACACTGCACTTTATTTTCTTAATGCAATTTTAATAATTCTAAAATGCATTGTTCTCCCTATAACACAGCCTACTTGCAGAATATATAATACATATTTATTGTATATTTATACACAAAAGGATAAATTAGGGTGCCTCCACTGAATTCACCAAATAATTGTTTTTATATTGAAGGGCTTCCAATAAAGTTTTTAGATACACAGATTATGAGTTCTTGAATAATTCAGTGTCTAGAAATTCATTCTTCACTGTTTCACAAGCATTTATTATCCCATATTCCCCTTTAAAAAATGGTGATGCAGTATATTAACTTTTTTTTTTTTTGGTAGAGGTCTTTGCCTTAGGGTGTATGTGCTCACCAGAGAGAGAAAGAGACAGATACAGTGAGAGAGAAAGTGAGAAATCATTCCCCAGGAGGGATGGCCATACCACAATCCCTTCTCCTTCATTATCCTCCCAGGATCTTGGGCAAGCAAGCACACGTGCCACGTCTAAGTTTCAAGCCACCAGGTCCAAGACTCAAATTGCATTCAGCTATGTGGGAGACCAGCAAAGGAACCACTACACGCTCTGCTGGTCCCTATACTGACATGTTTTTAATACCAATAATTCAAGTCAGCATATAGTAGCTACACATCTTTGAGAATATGCCTTAACTTATAATCTACAAAATACCTACAAGTAAAAGAAAAATTACCCATGCCCGTGATGATAAAATATACAGATGAAGATGAAAGTGCCAGCTACAGCTCTGGACGCAGAGCAGGTGCTCAAAAAATGATACTTCCCCTCTTGTAGATCCCAGTGAAATATTACTCGGCCTCAGTGTTCTATTTCTCACTACTGTTGATATGTCCACTTTACTTATCTTGAGGACTCATGCTTCAAAGCATTTCATGTCTTACTAACTTTCTAGGAAGTTAATTTTTATCTCTTTGTTTCATATGAAAATCTGTGACAGAGAGAAAAGGAATTCATTCAGAACCATACAGAAGAACCCCAGTTCTGTCACCAAACCACAGACAAGAAGTTCTGCAAAGAGCTGGCTCTTCAGAGTTTAAAACAACTGCTTGTCCAAATTGTCATTCAGTTTTTAAAAAATCCTCCCTCTTCCTATCCTCAGATGAAGATGATCTCATCTCCAAAGCATGCATGATGAACACATACTACTTCCTCCTCCAAGAATGTGATGGTACATGCAGGGCCCCATTCCTGAGCTGGATGGAGAGGACGAGGTCAGATGTCCAGTCTTCATTCAGACATTCACTCGTTTAATTCCACAGAGAGATCATCTCTGTTCCATAGCAACAGAAAATGCTGCTTATCTTAGCGGCCTCCTCATGGTAGAGGTCTTTGCCTTAGGGTGTATGTGCTCACCAGAGAGAGAAAGAGACAGATACAGTGAGAGAGAAAGTGAGAAATCATTCCCCAGGAGGGATGGCCATACCACAATCCCTTCTCCTTCATTATCCTCCCAGGATCTTGGGCAAGCAAGCACACGTGCCACGTCTAAGTTTCAAGCCACCAGGTCCAAGACTCAAATTGCATTCAGCTATGTGGGAGACCAGCAAAGGAACCACTACACGCTCTGCTGGTCCCTATACTGACATGTTTTTAATACCAATAATTCAAGTCAGCATATAGTGATCAGTTATTGGCTCAAGCTAGCTTCAAAAACTTAGAAGGGATTATCTACAACTTAAATTATAGAATACTTCCCAGAAGAAACTATTTTACCATTTTTAGTTCATGTATAATGCAAGTTCATGTAATAAATTATATTTTGGGGGAGGACTTACGGGAAGCAGAGAGGGGGAAGTGACGTTGAAGAACTAGCATGTACCAACCATTATCTTTCCTAGCAGAACTCAGCAAAACCTGATGAGGAACCTGAAGTTCAGAGAAAGGAAGGAGCATAGCTCAGGTCATTTTCATAAGGGCATAAATTGGAATTCAAGCTGGTCTTTTGGATCCCAAAGCCTACTGGTCTTTAATTATTCTATTACTCTGAAATTTACTCAACATGGATGAGAAAGAATTGTAATAAAGCCAGTTGTGGTGAACAGTGGTGGGACAACACTCAGCAGTGCTGGAGGCCATATGGAAGGTGGGGCTCAGTTCCCAGGTCATACTGTACATGCTGAGTGTGAATGCTCAGGCCCATGATCCTGGCTACTGGGAGGAGATCATGGAGTGAGACCCTCTTGTGGATGTCTGTCTGTCTGTGTGGTGTGTCTCTCTCTCTCTACTCTCCCATTAAATAATTTTTTTAAAAAAGAGAAAGATTTATAATTAGTATGACATATTAAGAAAATTAAATTCCTCACAAATGCCAAAGGGCCACAAAAGATCAAACACAAGTACCAAATACAACCCTTAAA